AGAACTGAAGGCCACCTGCTTATGTTGAGCGCACACTCTGGACAGTTTACCTGGCTTTTAAGCTGCAGAGGTCCATTTCCACGTGCCAAGGTTGGTCCCATCTCCATCCATGCTGTGAGAAGGTTTTCATCCGGTCCTGGGTTGATTCTGCTTTCCTGGCTTGCAGGACACCCACCAGCACGGGCAATCTTTGCTGCCACACCAGCCTGCAAGAGATGTGAGTGAGCCATTTTGACAGTGTCAGCATCACCACTGACGCCTGTCCTTGCATCACAGATTTTGCCACAGCAGTCCTACCCTAATTTTCTGCTAGCAGCTGTACAGTCCAGCTTCTCTGCTGTGTCCCAAGAAGGAAGGCTGGAGGTGTGTGCCTATCCCACAGAGTCCTGAGGGAGGGACCCTGGGGGAGCCCTCGGGGCTGGCTTGAGGAAAACAAAGGGTCTGATCGTGAATTTAAGGGCTGTTCTATACAGGAGACCAGCCAGGGCCAGGATTCATGCTGATTGTGCAGTGTAACAACCCCACAGAGGGAGGTGGCTCTGAATCCCTTTAATTACCTTGTTCTCTGAGGTTTGTCATAAAGAAACCAGGTTACAGCTGTCTCTGTTCTGCTTAAACCCTGATGGAATAGGTTCAGAGTTCAGTTATCGTGAGCTTTCCCTGCTGAAAATTAGCAATTTGCCAGAAAACTTTACGAGATAAAACTTTTATCCTAAAAGTCATTTATAGTCATTCTGAATTTCAGAGATGTTCAATTACAAAATTCAAAGGAAAACTAGGACATGCAGACTTGATGCACAACTGCAAGGGACAGGAAAGGTGGACACTGATACTGAAACACCTATAAATTTCCACTGCTTCTCAGCAATGTTATATTTCTGATGGGAGAAGGGAAAAAAGAAGCATACAGCCACTTAGGCCAAATGAAAGCTACAGAGAGTAATTAAATTTGCACTTAAATCGGCATAGATAGCCAGCACAGAAATATCAGTGTCTTTTTTTCCTCAACATCTATCTGATAATAAAGGCCTTTTGGCTGTAACACTGACATTTTTATGACTATTAACTCATTGGAGACTCACCTACACTCAGATAAATGCTGCTTTCAAGGACCAAATCCTCTTTACCAAAGCCAGTGTACTGGGGCATACTGGTCAGCTTACTTTCAGCCAGAAAAATCAAATAAGCTTTCCCAGTACCAGGATCCTCTCCAGCAGCAGGACTGGTGCACTGGTGTAATCAGAGAGGTCAGGAATCAGGTAACACCACCACCATTATCTTTATCAATTGAAAAAAAAAAAAAAAAAGTTTAGCAAATGCCTTAAAAAAGTTAAAGCTGCTGAGGTTAATGCACTGGGGGTTTTGAGTGTGCTTTATTGGTGTGGTGTTCTTGCACCCTGTGCCAGGGCATGAGCACGACAAGCCATGACATTTGCCTGGAATTAATGAATATTCAGTTACGGGCAGCTTTAAGCACCACACTGAGTTGGGACACAGTACACGGTAGCATAATTTGTTGGAATAAACTGGTCTAGTGGAGAGCAATGTTTTGAAAGATTTTGAATGTTTGGGGAAAGAGTTGGCAAAGCCTGCCATCCAATTCCCATCATGAGGTAACCTATCATCAAACACTGGCTCCGAAAACAAAATCTGGCAGATTTGAAGTTTACCACATTATGTCTCCCAATCTGCTTTCGTAGCCTTTCCCTTCCTCAAATGTTGAGGCTGCCTGGAGTTTTCCATGTTATGCTGGGAAAACAGAACGTTTTGCCAACGCGCTCCTTACTTTTGGTTATTTTTAAATCTCTGCAAAAGCTCTCACTTTCTTCTGTAGCCAGTGCCTATTGTTTATGGAAGCAGTTCCAATTTACTTTCCATAAGGAAAAAAAAAATTATAAATTATTCTACTGCCTCAAAAGCGCTGCAAGTATCCGCATTGTTCCGCTGCATTGTTTTCCTTACAAAAAAGGAATTCCTTGGAACCACAGAGGCATTGAGTCTACTCAGCTCACTCTTTTTCAGCTCCCCCCCTGCTCCCAAATAGTGGCTTTCAAGCAGTGACCTTTCCTTTTCGTGGAGGCCAGCTTCTTATTTCGGGTTGGATTTCCCTGCTGATTGTTCTGCGTTTCCTCCCGCGCTGCTCTGCGGCTGCTGCTGCTGCTCCCGGCAGGTTGACCAGAGTGACCACCCTGTGGTTGTCACACACGCAGCCCTGGGTGGCTGTGGGTGACCATGGGGAGAGCCAGGCCACTGGCAGCCTCTCCCACCCTCACATGGATGGCCAAAAATTCATCAGCTGCTCATAATAGCCATAAATTAATAAAATCTGGCAGAGGATTAATCACCTTGTACACGTGGTGTACAACCATCGCCTGGATGCTGAGAAATGCAAGAGCAGCTTTCTAGAGTTGCTCTCAAAAAGCTTTGTCCATGAGCATCTTAGCAAGACACACATAAAACCATGAACTTTTCTAGTTGAACGGCTGATACACTCCTCTGTTTGGGAATAAATACCCCATTTATACTCTATGGGAATAATTACTTGTCATCCCCCACATTTTCTCATAACAAGCTTTTTCCTTCACATTAGAAACCTTTTGGAAGGACATGCAGAATCCATACCTAGTACTTCTGCAGGACCTGAAGTAGTTTGTGTCACTACAAAACACTGAACCCACAAGCAAAAAGTGTGAGACACGTCAGAAACAGAGCAAGCCTTGAAATCAGTCAAAATCTCTACTATAATCTTTAAACAACTATCTTGGATACTCTAAGCAGAGAGGAGCAAAGTCCACACACTCCATTTTTTATTTTCAGAAAACAAAGTGAAGCTGTAAAATACAGGTTCACTGTGCTGAAAGAACTCATCTTGATTTCTAGACGCTGCCACTGAGCCTGGCAACGAGTTCCGCCAAAAAAATGAACTGGGACATCTCAAATACACTCAGCAGCAAAGCTCGTACATCTTGATTCCTTGAGGACTGCTGCAGACCCAGGAATCTGGAGCTCTGAGGAAACAGGCCTTATTTTAGAAGCAACATGTTCTGGTGTATTCATAAGGAAATATTCTCAGAAATTCCAGTTCACCAGGAGTTTGAAAGCTACTCCTTTCACTCTCACTCGGGATGTAACCCAAGTGTGAAGAGACGAGGTTTCTTGTTTTCGTGTGAACCTGCAGTGCTGCTTTTCACCCAAAGCCTGTCAAGACCCTACTCTCAACTGCTGTGTACAAGGCACAATTAGTGGAATCATCTAAAGACTCATTTCATTTTGAAGTCATTTGTATTTCAGAGTTCAAACCGAGACAAAATGTATTCTTTCATCCAAAATATTTGTAAAATTGTTCGCTTCTGTTTCTTTCACAATATTAGTTTCTGTTGCTGACTGTATGAGGAACCTCAATGTCCAAATTTTAAGAAACGCTTACCTATTTTTATGTCTATTTGGTTAATTTTACAAACTTCAGGTAAAAAAGAAAAAAAAAAGAGATGATTCTAATATTATATTTTGTCTTGTACTTAGTTCATGGAGAGGTGAGATAGGATGCTGAGAACCTGTGCTAGTCAAACTTTGAATGCACTGCACTAACAGTAGGGGTAAAGCTTTAAATAGTCAGAAAAATAATAAAATACTGGGAACAAAAAAGAGAAAATGACCCCCCCTCACACAGTGAATCCTTCAACCTTGGCAAACATCTACTGTGTTCAGAAAACAGACTCTGAGACAGAAGGAAGGTGACAAAAAGGAGAAAAAACAACATCTGAAATTTCAAAATGTTTTCCAAAAATCGAAACAAGACAAAAATTTACATTTAAGGGAAATATTTCGCAGCACTAAATACTCCTTATACAAAAGTCTCTATTTTGCAAGATAAACGTCTAGGACACAAATGTTGGCCATCTGCAAGTGCAGCAGTGAGCTAAGGCAGCAAGATGGAAAAGGTGTCGCGGCAAATTGCCTCGCCTCCCTCTCTGGAGCGCTGCACTGCAATGAGCTGGCCCGTGGCCCAGAAGCAGCAATGCCATATTTGTGTTGCGAGAAATGCAAGGTGCTTGGCCTGGGAAAAGTGGCTTCCCAGAAGCACAGCCAGACTCCTTCTTGTGTCCACACTCGCCGTTCCAGAACCACTTCAGTAATACACTTCTCACCGCGTCCCGAGTGAAAAATTCCCTCATCTCTGTTTCTGCTTCGAGACAAATCACTTTTTCCTCCTTGCAAGTAATTTGGGCTACAAATATGGCAATGAATATTCTGCTTAGTAGCAAAAAGGGAAATAAATATGTATAAGTGGCTTTCGTGCTATTTGTGTGGGCTTCTGTGTGTGAGCTCAGGCAAACATAAACACACAAATATATCTTGTGCCTACAGAACGTCTGTGCGAGTTCAGTGGCTCAGTTCCAGCACACCTAGAGACACCCATCCTCATTACAGGAAAAATGTGTGGTTCTTATTTTAAAACCCTCTGGAAACTCCAAAAGCATAAAAAGCACCTGCCTCACTGTGGAGCCTGACACGAGGCATCTTCCCTGCACTCGTTTTATCCAGCAGTGTTTATACTCGGAATGTACATAACACTGCTCACGTGAGACACCGTTATCCTAAAGTCCTCCACAGTTTATTCTCAACTATCTGAAAAAGTATTAACTTCCCCCTTCAACCCCTCTTTTAACATATCTCCCAACCCCTTCATTGATTCTTCTCCCTGGAATGCTTCTATTCATCCCGCTAATGAGAGGCAGATTGATTTCTATCATTTCACCTTTGGTTGCCTTATTGATGCACTGGCTGTCCAGAGGGAAGAGAGTCACCTTTTGATGGCAGTGACAGAGAAGCTCAGTCAGAGGACACTGATGCTCAGCTGCAGTCTGAGTTGCAAGAAAATTGGGGCTATTCTGATTTACACAAATTCAACACCCTTTCACCTTAATGACGAGGATTTTTCGAGAGCTAAAGCTAAATTATGAACTGATCAGAGCTTCCTGGCAACAGCGAGCTTGGTGTTTGTTTTAAAATGAATGGCTGCCTTTTCAGAATCTGAGATTATCTGCTAAGTGATTACATACCCATACACATGGCAAAAGATTAGCACCTTCCACGCACACCTTCCATCAGTGTTATTCTTTCATGCCCAGTCACCTCTGCTGGTCCATTCCGAGAGTGAGCTGTGAGAAACGCAGCTGTTGAATTACAGGGAAAGTTAAGAAAGTGATTTGGAGGGCACATCTTTCCAGCAGTTCAAAGACTGTTCAAACAGTTCTGTTTCTTCTCTCTCTCTCTTTTCTTTTTTTTTTTTTTTTGGTTTTAATTTAGTCTTTAGTGTCTCTCTCTTTTCCCAAGAGTACATGTTAAAGGAAGTGCAACTAATCAGCAGGTTATATCCCATTTCCATGTTATTCCAGCCTTACTTGAAGAGATGATATATTTGATAGCTTTTAGCTTGGCTCCTTCACTCTGCATTTGCCCCTTTTATCCACATTGAACTTATGATTTGTGATGGGCAAATCTCAAAAGATTAGAAGTTGGGCTTAGATAAGCAACTGTATGTTTGAAGTTTACTTTTCAATTTTAAGAGATCAGGGTCACTGCAACAAGTGCCTGAATTATCTGCCTCAAATTCATGGGATTTGAATGACCAAAGAGACTTTGGTGTACTTCGGGAAGAGGAACAAAGTGACAACTATATTTCCAACTAACAAACATAGTTATAGTGCCCCAAAATTAAACAGGTCAAGGAGATTTATTTATTTTTAGTAGCATTAGGAGAAATGGGAGCTGAAGGCATCAGAGGATAGTTCTACTTAGGAGCAGGACTCGAATGCTGTGTCTCATGTAAAGCTTAAAGGCTTTACCCTTTGGATGCTCTGGCCAGAGAAGGGAGAGGGAGCAGAGCTAAATCCTGTGAATGCTGCACAGAAATTAAAATGTGTGTACTCCCCAAACAGATCAGTAACTGGAAGGCACCTCTATTATCCTCTGGGCTGCAGAGTGCACTCTTAACTCACCCTCCCTCCAAGACTCTGTTATTGTTACTGTGGAAACCCTAACAGTGATTTTTCACTGACATTTGGCATCACTTTAAAATCAACTTTCCATAGAGATAGATCAACTCCAGAATTGGCCCTGACTGTATTTTCTCACTGAGAAAGCAGACAGGAGATGAAAATCAAAGTTTAATCCTGTTGCCTGCTGTAGCAAAGCACAATGCAATGCCTATCTGGGAAGTAGCATCTCCCTTTTTATTTATCTATTGTATGTCTGTGTCTGAGACAAGTATGTTCTTGCTCTGATTCCAAACAGAATAGCACCACAGAAAATAGTTCTGAAGAACAAAACAAACATATCTACGTTTCTTGTAATGCTTTTCATCAGCAAAAAAAAAAATTATGGCTCCGGAAAACAGAAAAGTCTGACTGAAACTGGGGGGTGGTGATGAAATTTTGCTTTGTCAAAAAAATTCTCATCGGGGGCTCATGAGGGTTCCTGTGGGTTATAAACTGAAGAAAGGAGTTTACAAGGTTTTGAGCTTTATTTTTGTAAATAGAGACAGGTCTGTAAATAGAGAAAGGTCTTTTTTTGTAAAAAAGACCTGCAGAAATCCGGGATGTTTGGGGTAGGAGTTGGGGAAACATTACTGGTATTTGCCACAGGCATCCAAACTAGAACCCAGATACTGCAGCTCTTTTGCACAAAGAAAATAATTTCTCTAGTGCAGGCACAATGGATGCTGAGCTTTTTGGAAGATCTGGCCTAACAAAAAGTGGGACAATGAAAAGAAAAAAACTGGTTTCCTCGAATGGGTGGTATGGGGCTTGGGGAATGAATGTTTGTGGAGCACTCAGATCCTGGTATGAAAAGGTGCTGTAAAAGTTCAAAGTATTATTGTTATGGAATACTTACTCAGCAAGGCAGGGGAATATCAAAGGCTTTCTTCTCCCAGCTGGCTCGGGCTTATCTCAAGGAACTGTTGGTGGGTGGTGATTGCTCTCAGGGACTGGTGATGACAGAGGAGTGAAGGCAGTAACTTTGCTTGCAGAGCTGCTCTGGGCACCCTCCTGGATCCGCCAAGGCTCCGGTTCCCCCTTGGTGCTTTTTGGTGTGCACACACACCCCCTGTTCCCAGAGAAAAGCCTGGAATGAAAACAGAGAGCTCTGACACCTGGCTGATGGCGGCACTCAGGCAAGGGCTTTCACTTGCAACTGGTACGTTGGGAAATAATTGATACAAATTGCTTCAGACATTCAAGGCTGCTGGTTCTCCTTCCCACAGGCTATTTTTAGGCCCAATTAGGCAGATGAAATGACACCGGAATTAATTTGGGTACATTTGAATGTTTGGGCTTGCTTTATTTTTTTTTTTTTTAATGCTTCTCTCTGGATAAATGGCAAACGTCTGAATTATAAAAGGCAGATAAAAAGTTTTTTTCTTCCCTCCCTTCTCTGCTAAGCAACGTTCAAGCACTGAAAGACTTGCTCGCTGCAAAACCACTTAGGGCTGATTGCTGGGGAATTTCCTCTCACCACCTTAAACCCAAAGCAAATAACAGAATATGAAATAACACATATTCTCTTGGCATCAGGCTGCATGAGAGCTCCCCCAGGTCTGCTGCAAAGCAAAGGCTACCAACCCGCCCATCAGAAGAAGATAAAATACAATTAACTAATTCATTATATAAATATTTTGTGTGGGGAGATATGAATTGGCTTATCTCAATTATTGTTATCATTATTATTAGCTGCTGTTTGCTAAGACTGAGTTTTTCAAAGCCCTCTTTCACATTAAGGAGCCCCAAATCCCCACGTTAAATCCCACCCCTTAATTTGATGTTGATAGCTTTTGCAAGCTACTGGGGAACACAAACAGGGAGAGAGGTACAACTGGTGAGATAGTATTATTCAGTGTTATTACTGGAATTTATGGACAAGCCATTCCCAAGCCATTGGAACGTAATTCATACATTTGGGCTAAAGGGAGATCCATAAGCGTTCTCCAGCCAAGCCCCAACCTGTGTAATGTTTTCTAAGATAAGCAGCTACTGCCATGGAAAAGGCAAAACCTGACTGCTGGCTCTGTGGTCACTGTGCTGAGATCAAACTCCTCCAAAACTGGAAGGCTTCCCAGTCCTCTGGAACAGACAAGTCATGAACTGCACCTTCTGCAGCCAGGCTTGAGGGCTCAGAGGCTGGCTGGCATTTCACTCAGATGGGTGAAATGTTGGCTGTGTCCAAGCCAAGAGGAGTTTTGCCCCTGAATTCGGTGGGGCAGCACTCTGCCTTTGTAGTAGGAGCCGATGAAAAGCTCTGCCTCGTAATCACATTCCTGTGGCTTAACATGTAAGTGCACGTTGGCCCCGCGGTGGTGACGGCTCATGTGCACAGCTCTCAGCCTGCAGGACATGCCAGCCATGCCACTGGCTTTGCCCCACAGGGGAGGAGAGGTGAAGAAGTTGGGTTTTGGCACTTGCCACGCGCAGGGCTCGCAGGATCAGCTGCCACAGCGGGTCTGATGAGCAGTGACTTGATTGTGACGGAGTCCTCGGTAACCCCGGTGTGATACGGAGATGGTTTTGAAACAGCACCTGATTCTGAAACACAACCATCCTACCCCCAGGGAAATGGGTGCTTCGTCTTCTGATGTAAATACAGCACTAGTTCATAGCATGCCAAGTGGGAAGTGAGAGCCAGGCCTCCCTTATTCTGATATCTTATGTCCACAGTCCCAGCATTTCACTGTGACACCTCATACTAAGTAAAAGAATTTGAGTCTGACTGCAGTTTACCTTCTCATAAACCAGACTTTAAGAAGTATCTGATACTTAGGAAAAACACTTCCAGTAAGTCAGCAGGAATGAAGTTTCTTTTCCTGTGTTATTTGTACCTTTTGTGGTATCACACATACTACTTCTCCCTTAATTTCTTTCTGAAGGCTGCACATACATAACATTGTCTCCATTTTTGATCCATTGCATCTCCTAAACATGTCTCAGCAACAGGGTGGATGGTGACAGAGGAGCAATTAGTACTTCCCAATAATGAACTACAAATCTGGGGCAGAAAATATCACCAGCTGCTCAACACTGAATTCAAGATGCATTTATTTTAGACAATCCATGCTGTAACTTTATCTCAAAATACTGGGTTGTAAAAGCTACTTACAAGAACAAAAGTCCTGATCCTTTGAAAAAGTCCTTTTAAGGACAGTTTTTACACCTAAAGACTTCATAAGTTACTTGCCCTGTTTTGTCCTCTGAAAGGGTTCATGGTTGCTGTGAATTCCTGCCTCTGTGCCTACTTCCTTGCCTGACATATTCTCCTTTATATCTCCACCAGTACTGAACCCTGCTTTGCAGTGACTCTTACCATGCCATCTCTTTTTTCAGTCCCAGCTGGTGGTGTAGAGATCCAGTAACACAAAGATCATCTGCCTGGAAAAAAGAACAAAACACAATATTTGATAACAATGTGTTTTCAATTCTCGCAGGAAACATTAGCAACATGTCTTTAGAAAGGACTCTCCCATGACAAGCCACGAGTGAAATACTGAGCTTCCAAAGCAGCAAAATAACAATTTCACAGTCTTGTCTGTGACAGAGATAATGGATTCTTCAAAAACCTTGCCTTTTTACCAGCTTCATAGCAGGACATCCCTGCAAGGTCAGTTCTGTGAACACTAAAAGCTGAATTTCACAGAAAAAAGTCACTTCTTCGTAGTCTTTTGAGAAGCCTTTGTAAAAAGGGACAGTAGAGGGGAGAAGAAAAAGGAGAAACTGCTGTAAATATCTGAAATGTTCAAAAATAAAGTTAAGGTTTATCTGCAATAGTGTTGTGTTGATATTAGATATTGTTGCATTGGAAGTTTTCTTGACTTTTCCAACAGAAATGACTCCAAAGGAGTAAACACTTTGCTTCAGTCTCATCTTGTAATGCCCATGAACATACCAGAGATGAAAGGTACCTGGCTGAGTCTGGGTAAAAATAGATGGGATTTTGAAAAGCGGGAAGAAACGCCTGGGAAAAGTCACCTACATATGGTCCTAATCATGCCAATGGATAACCTCCACATTACCCTTTAAAAGGTCATCTGATAATCATCAACATTGGGCTTTTCTCACAAACCCAACACCTAAAATTGCTTCAGGCTACTGTAATACGGCATGAGAAGTTAAATTAGAAGCATATATTTGGTAATAGCACCTCTGAGAGGGAGTCTTCAAAAGCCTGTGCCCCCATTAAAGGATTAGAAGTCCAGCACACATATCAGCAACTATTCTCCATCCAAAGAGAAACAGAACAGGAGACAGAAATCAGCATTTTGTTCTGATTAGCTGCTTTGATTGATGTAAATGTCTTAATTACCTTTTTTTTTTTTTTTTTGGTTAAACATTGCTGCAAGTCTGCCATTGGGGGAAGTACTATAAAGAATGTCACTATGAAGTAGCACTTTCAGGCCTTCCCCCATCTCTTGTGGGTCTGGTGGTGATCTTTCCAGAATAAAGCAGTCTCCAGGGTTCAATTGTTTTGAAGGAGTACCCAAAATACAATTTACAGACTCAGAGATGAAACCATTCAAGAATAAGAATGGGGCCATTAAATATTCCTGGAAATGGGCTAATTCTGATTGAAACAATGCAAGAGATATCAAAAAAGAAGCAGGGATAATTAGAGTACATTCAAAAGCACTTCCTTTTTATTTGGGCATCTTCCCTTCTGGAAGCAAATCCACCCAACTTTCCCGAGTGCCAATATTTTGAGACAATTTGCCCCAGAGGCAAACAAGAAATAGGTCTGATTGTCCAAGAAATGAGGATGAAGGCAAAGGGCACATCCTAAGGATTGAAGACTGGATGAGAAACTGGAGAGCTTAAGGTGAAAGAAATCCTCTGTATCAAGGTCGCTGAGGTTAGGGGATTTTTAATGGGGGAGGAAAGTCCTAATTTTGGTGGGGTTTTTTCTTGCTCCTGACTCAAAGTGGCACAAGTTCAGTGCATCACTCCACTTAGCTAAATAGAGGGGCGAGTTATGCCCTAGCACTTGCAGAAGAGCTTGATGGAAGTGGAAATTTGTTCCCATTTTGACAGACTTGCAGCTAGTCAGAAACTTCTCTGAATGTGGGTTTTCATAGAATTTCCTATTTATTTCACTCCCGCTTCAACTCTTCAGCTCACACATCAGGAAACACAGTTTCATCAGTGCTCTACGACTCTTGCCCAAGAGCAGATGATCAAGCTCTGCTCTTACTCCTTCAGATTTCAGGATTTGTGGGGGGGGGGAGCACAGGTTTAATTTCTGAACCTGTTAGAGGTGAGCAGGGGGAGACAAAAGAGGCCTTGCTGTCTCACAGACACAGTGGCTCTGAACTCCTAAATTATCTCTAATGTCTTTATGTCTCGAAATTACCCTTGTGGGTTTTCTCTCCTGGACTCATGGGAGCAGTAGAGTAGTTCAACTAAATTTTCTTTCCCAGCTCCCAGTGAAGAGGAAACACTTGTGAGGCCCTTTCTGCCAGTGTCGCTGTGTTTACCAGGTCCTGCCCCCACGGACTCCTATCTCAAGAGTGTACAAGCAGAGCAGGCTGCTGCAGCAGCAATCCAGAAGCTGGAGCTGTCAAACCCAGTCTCATTAGATACCAAAGGGGCTAATAAAAGAATGGGTGTCGGTTGTATTTCTGGCAGGGATGGTTGCTGAAAAGCCCAGAGAGAAGGATCCCGAGACACCTCAGCTCCCAAGTTCCGATGGATGTATTTCTAGTTGATCAATCTCCGTGTCTTTGTGGCTGGAGTAACTTCCCACCTCGGGCTTCTGACAGCTGGACAAAGCAGGGTTTGAGACGTGCCTTGCTTTAAGTAAGTGTGGAGAGATGTTTTCAGTCTGACCTTGCCAAATCAGGCCCTGGCTTGGGGCGTTTGCTGAGATCCAGGAAAGATTTTCCCACTGAGCTGCAAGTGGGAAAAAACTAATTCTATCCACAGCAATGTGATGGAGCATTGAAGTGACAAGTGTTCTGGGAGATAGGAATCTACCTTATGATCTGCAGAGCCTCTAGCTTCATAAAGCAGAAGAAAATACTTATACATGTTGATTTGGTGGTGGTGGAGATAGTTAAAAGCCAATTATAAATTATAATTTTCACAGGCAGAAGGAATATATTTAACCACACAGTGGACATGTTCATGATTAGCCTTCTATATTAAAGAGATAAGATTTAGCAAGAGCAAATATGGACTTTGTTTGGGCTTTTGTTCCTAAGTTCCCATATTTTGTTAAAGCCCATCAGATAATGAGATGTAAAAGCACACAGACAGATATAACAGAGAGCAGCAGAACAGCACAGAAGCAATGAACAGAATATAAAGGCATAATCCCAGACAGCAAAAGCAAATTTTCCACATTCAAACACTTCCATGTTTTTTTCCTCTCCACTTGTCTTCTCCTGTTCTTAAAACAACTAAAAAAACAATTGATATCAATAGGAAACCTCCATTCAGGGTTTTACCCAGGATTTCCATGCCATACAATAGTCCTGCTCCTCACCTGCGGCCCTGCTTCTTCCTTCTCGTCAGAGTCATTGCTGTGCTATGTAATTATAATGTCACTGGGCTTTGCGAGATCACTTTTGAGACCTAGGGCTGTCTTATTTCACATATTGCTTTGAGCATTTTTACTATCATCATCAGTGGTGTCCTGGGAAAATATTTTGCGTGAGGATATCACGTTAATGGTAAATACAGTGGCTGATACTTCGTAGAGACAATAATGAGCCTTTTCACACATTGCAGAGAATTTCTGTTCTGCCTCCAAATATCAACTCTTCCACAATTTTAACAACAACAATAATAACAATAATAAACATAATAATTAGGTCCTTTCTCCACAGGAGTAGGAAAGGTGTAGATGACAGCAAAACATGCTTCAAGGCTTGCTCTTGAACCCTCTTTTCACCTGGCTGTAGTTAATATATGGAACCAGAAGTGGGCAAGCAGGCTCCTTACCTTATCCTGGAACTGCTTGATGCCAGTCTGGCTCCACATTTCTGTATTTTTTGGTAGTGTTCAGTCGGGCACAATTGCAAAGACAAGCCTGGAATGAGCAAGGGAAAAATGAGTTGTCAAATATTGCATTTAGAGGATTTAGCAAAGTGTGTAAATAAGTTATGGCATCGATATCCTGACAGATTACTCAGCCAGGGGACTGGAAATGGAAAAAGAGAAGTCTATTGATCAAATAAATTAAGTTTTGAATCTAAAAGTGGGTTTAATAGATTAAAAGCCCCTTACACTGAATCCAAGTTTGCTCCCCTAGGCAAAACCTCGGCTTACACGTAGGCTGAAACTTCTCCACCTCAGCCAGTCAAGCCTTGCTGTTTTACACAGGGGGAAGCTGTGACCTTGATTTCAACAGCCACACCATGTGTCAAAGGCCAGGAATCCCGGATTATCTCACAGAAGCCAGTTCCCAAACTCCTTACTGGCATACTAAACAGCGACATGTTCAAACAAAACAGTGCAAGGGAAAAGCAAAACCAACTCTTGCTGGTTGAGCACACCCTGAGATGTGTTCCTACCAGCTCCTGTGAGCAGCCTTTTCCAACGCAATCCTCCTTCGGCTCCCGGAGAATTGGATATTTCGCACTGATATAAGAAAACCTGCTCCCACAGAGAGCAGTTATTTGCCAGATTTCCATTAGGAGAGCGAGAAACAGCAGCTGTTATTGGGACTTCTCAGTGCAGCAGATAACTGAGAATAATGTTCAGTAGCTGCAAATGCGGGATCAGAAGATGCGGGTTCCACGTCGGGGTCTGTTGTTGACCTCCTGCGTGTCGGGCAGGTCGTTTCACGCCTCAGTGTAATTCAGAAAATGATACTGAACTCCTTTGGAAAGTGCTTTGAGACTCGCTGTGAGAAAAAGTCTGTAAACCCCCCAAATATTTCATTAATAACTAACTGTAAGGATGACAACACGTGAAATGTGCCACAAAAAGCCATTTAAAAGCTCAGCGCTTTGCAAGTAAACAAAACATGGGTGAACTGGAAGCTCGACTCTCATCGTTTTCCATCTCATCTAATAAAACATCTAAGATGGCTTTTTGAAGTCTGGACAAGTGAAAATGGGATTACTAATTGCATCTCGCTAATTTCTAGCTGGAAAGATTAATCACAGGCAGCCAGATGGGGTTTTCTTTTGGTCCTTGGCTGACTTATCCTCTCTAAGTGGTCAGAGACATTAGTAGGATGTATTAAGGGGGATCACTCAGCAAAAACAGTTCTGTCTGAAGCAGAAAAGTAAAAATTAGTCCTTTGCTCCTTCTGAGCTTGATTATTTTGCTCATTCACTACTTTCCAACCTGCAGCAGGTTGATCCTGAATCCACTGCGCTGCTTTTAATTCCTTCTGGAGCCACTTTTCCTACCTGGATGACCTAAGACTCAGGAG